AACTGTTTGCCCAAGGCTTAAAGAAAATGGCAGTATGTTCAGTCCTTTTCAATGATTTTTTTAAATCCTCTGTAATACCACTTTTCTATTTCTTATTTTTAACACTGAGGATCTGATTTATTTTCTGAAGTCTACTAGGGTTATGCAGTATCTTATTTTTATTTATTTTAGCTTGAGATACAGGATTAATAACTTCTTTGATTTATTGTGCTTTGCATCTCTACAGGCCACCGCAATTTCAGTCGTCACATTTATTCATCCACATGGCCATGTTTTCTTGCAGCCATTCTTTCAAATATCAGGAAAGCAGGGTCCTACATTTTTTCAGGTGTCCTTTTCTTACAGATTTGCCTTTATCTTTTTTTGAATCATTCTGTTGAAACATAAAACTGGGTACACAGGAGATTTGTAAAGGTCATTTCTTATTTTGTCACTAGAAAAGGCTCCAGGAAGATAGCAAGTGTTGGAAATCTTTTGGCTAATTACGCTCTTTCAGTGGAAGTATAGCACTGCAAAACACACCTGAACTCACTGCATTTGCTCATCAGAGATGTCCACTGGAGAAGAGAATCAGGACCCAGACCTAGAATGAGCCTGTGAGTACCAGAGAAAGAGCTCAGGGGAACGGCAACGTTTTTCCTGTTGTCCCTGCAATAAAACCCAGAGAGAATAGCCCTGCCAAGCCTCCCCTCGTACCAGTGGGAGCTTCGGCCTCGAATCCCGCTCCCTCCTGAGCGGTCGCGGCCAGCGCTGCTCTTGCAGCTAATTAATGGCTTCCTTCCACCTGCGCGGCCGCCGCGCTCTCGCCTCGGCAGCGAGGCCCGGGCAGCGCAGGAACGGGGAGAGCGGTGGGGGACAGCGGGTGCGAAAGGAAGCGCCTCCCATGTCTGAAATGCGGGGGTCAAAGAGCAACGGCTCTTGGAGGGCAGCAAGCAGCAGCGCCGCTTCCAGAGCCCGTAGGAAGAATAAAAAGCTGAGGACTGGGGCTCTGGGCGAGGCATTTTTCAAGAGTGCTGAATAAACACGGGAACGTGTATTTAAAGAAATTGCCCAGCTTAAGTAAACAACTGGGAAAACGTGTCGGATAATTGGATTTTCATAATCACAAACTATGGCTTAATTTTAGGGCCAGGGAAGCCCTGGAAATGACCTTGCTAATGATTAATAGCCTTTTAGTAGCCTGGTGGCCCTCTGAGGTGGACAGGTGGAGTTTCCTTTCAAAGTGTTTCAAACAAACATTGCATTAATCATTTTTTTTATCATGGTCTCTACTAAAATCTGCTTCTATAAATGCATTATTAAAAAGACTCCAGTGGATTCTCATCAATGGACTTGTTCCTATTACCCCATTGAAGTATGAGCACGAGTACATACTGAGCCTGCCTTTGAGGTACTAGACAATACACAGACACAAGTGGTTTCCTGAACTTATTCACCTACTCAGTAATGAGGTGGCTGTCACAGCTAGTGAAATGTCGGGAGAGTTGGCCTTGTGTTGACTTTAATGCAATGTTGTCACGAACATATGCAGTTCCACAGATTCCTCACATAATGCTCATCCCCAGCAAGACACAACCTCAAGGGAATTACAGCTCACAAAGGAATAAACCAATCTTGTTTAATTGGGCCCAGGATATTTGTAAGGGGAAAAGAATATTAAAGAAGTTACTTACTTAGGGAGTAAAAAAAGAAAAAGAGTTCTAAGTATCCAGAAATGAGGGAAACACCATGTGTACAGCTCTTTTCACTGTAATTTGGAATAGACAGACCCTTGTTGTGTACGTTCAGTGAGATTCAAGAAAAATGAATTCTTGGACTATAAATGTCATTGAATCCACTGTCTTATTGTGATTCCTTGATTTAAAACCTGTCATTGGAGGCATGGGAAAGTTCCCAAGAATGTCAGTGGGCTCTGGATGAGGTGGTACCTACTTGTTGCTCAATGGCCAACCTTCTGCAGTCTCAGCAGTAAGGAGAAAAGGTGAACTTAATGGCCTAACTTTTCATGCAGGTAGTAAAACAAAAGAGAATTTAATTCTCCTCTTGCTTTCTACTCTTGAGAAAGAATATATAGAATATACTCAGAATCCAACTGTTAAAGGCACAGAGAAAATCTGGGGAGCCCAGAGCAGGGTCTGAGATTATAAGGTTGCATATGCGAGTAGGGCATAAAAAAACTTGGTGGATCTTTCATGACAAGGCCATAGACAAAATGTCCTGTTTTCTGCCTTACTCTCCAGTACTGTCTTGAAGAAAACAAGTATCTATTTGATATTAATCTTAGCAATACTTAGCCATGCTAAGCAAAAGTTAGTATAGCTAATGTAAGCGTTATAATATCTTTTTATTAATTAAATCTTACTTTAAAAAATATTATTTTAGATGCCTTTTTTATGGAAAACAATAACTTTAGATCTATTGTCTTCGTATGTCTTCTAATAGTTTTTTTTTCTTTTATCCTTAGATAGAAAGACAACTATCCTTAGATAATTATTGTTTAGTCTGTATTTGTTAACTAAGTAGCTTTAAATGTGTTAAATACAAATAAGAAAACAAGAATAAGAATAAGAAAATATTTCTTCTTTCCAGAGTATGTTACGTGATTCTCAACACCAGTATTCATCAATAATCCACATAAATGGAAAAAGCTGTAAACTCAAAGTTATAATTAGATCAGGTATATTTTTTGTTGTTGTTAAAAAGGAAATAGACCTTTTGCCAAGGCTGTCAGATATAACAGTGTAAAAGCCAAAGAAAATATTAACAATTTCACTGTACTTTGTTGCTGAACAATGAGAATACTTTTCTTCTATAACAGCAAATCTCAGTAGGGTCTTCCAGAAGTATGCCTGGGTCTAACCTATTTCTCAACCAAGGTCTAGCGGTTTTAAAGAGGCTTATTGCACTCTTTGTCTATAGATTTCTGAATTGTTTTCAAGAGATTTGTTTTGTGATACAAATCCTTAACTAGACTCAGAGCCACCTGTTTAAGGGACTGCCTTTTTCCATGGAATAATTTGCGACAGTCATGGTCAGGAGAGTGTCTGGGTGGGAGGGTTATTATAAGCAAGGGGTCTGACAGGATGTTTTCCTCAAGCAGTTGTGTGGTGCAGTGGGACTCACTTCCCCCATGGAGAGGCTTAGTCGCAGGGGATGCTGCCTGAGGCTGTTATTGGGAACCTGTTATTCTCAAGGGTCTGGCAAATAGCTGCCTGTATTGGCTAGCTTGTGTTATGCTTCCCGTGAGCGTCCCATGGCTCTAAATTTGAGCACTCTTACCACCAACTGGGACTTCCTCGTGGTGAAGGGTACGCAGCACGCCTCAGTGCAGTACTCATAGCCCTCATAGTGTATATGAGTTACTAGTCATTCCTACTCAACCTCTTCTGCCCACCCCCTAACAAAATTAGGTTTTGTGAAAGCATTCCTAAGAGCAGCAGCACCATACACCGCCTACTTTCCTCTGCAAACAGACACTGTCCCTGTCTTCAAGCGAGGTCCCAGGGGGACTCTTCTTCTGCTGCAAGGGCTTTCTTTCCCTCCCAACCTGGCAATCCAACGTGCCGCCGCAGGCAGCCAGCTGGCTGGGTCACCTCAGCTCTGTTTTGCCTCCACCACCTGTTCTGCTGTCTCTGACTCATGTTACCATCTGCGGGCCTAGATAGAGAACCTCTTGTGATCACCCACCCATCATCTAAATTGAAGTGCGCTTATGTACAGCGCAGTAACACAGTCTGAGATTCACCGATTCCATCAGATGGTCTCTTTTCTTGGTGATTGTTGTTCTGTGTTTTGCTAAGTGACAGGTGGGTGACTGAAGTCATTTCTATTCAGGCAAGCTGACGTGACAGGAATTTAAAACTAAGTTACAGAAGGATCCATTGGCATGTGCCTAGCAGGGAGGAACGTGCATTCATGCAGTCTGCATCTTGCAATATTGAAAAGAAAAAACAAAGCTTTGTGCTGCGGGTATGGTTGCTACCAAAGAAGAAAGCAGTAAACCCTAACAGTGCTTTTCTGGTTGGAGAGGAATAGAGAACAGCAACACTAGCACAGAGTAAAAAGTCACAGTGCTTGAAAAGACAAATGAATTGTACAAGGAGTGGGTGTGTGCAAATATCTACAGTGTGCAAATATGCCTGAAGTCACAGGTTCAGTAGATAATATTAGATTGATGGATAACAACAGCAACAAAAAAACACAGTTGAGTGTTGTTTGGACAAAGTGATAAAAAGACACAAAATGTGCTTTATTTATATATTTTGATAGCTCAAAGGTGCTATTGAATCAAACTTTGTTTTCCTGTAGAAATGCGAAATATTAATCAGTTTGAATGTCCCGCAAAAGACGTTTGTTATTTCTGAACAACTCCCTCTAATTCTGTTCAGGAGTATTTCTTCTTCTGTGGTTTGTTGTTTCTCCTATACTGATCCTGAAATAGTGTGTACTGTCTTGATAGCAACCATCTTGGTGTTGCCTTTCCACTTGCTTCTGTTGATTTTATCACTTTCCCCCCCCTCCATGTTGTAAATTTAATGATCTTTTGATTAGATTCTTCAAGATGTCACACTCAACAAACTGTGAATTTTATTTCCAGGTTGTTTTCTATATCACTTAGAAAAATATTCCTTTTAGTTTCTCTGAAATATTTATTTCTTACAGACCTTAACATTTGGCATCCATAAAGATTAATAGGATACTAGGATCAGTTAATCCTTTTAAGAAAAAATCAAGTAGTTTCTCCCTAGCTCCTACTATTCTTGTAGGGTCAATTATTAGATTCAAGAGCTAGAATGGTCTATAAAATGTTGCTTTCCTAAACACCAAGTGATTCCAGTGAAACTAGTCTTGCAGTCTTCATACATCGAAATCTTCTGATGACTACAAAGAAAATTAGGGTACATTAAAAACTCATAATCAGGTGTATATATATGGCATTTAAAATACGTCAGATCAGATAGGAAGCTGATATAACTGTTTATATTATGTTTTTACTGCAGACGAGGATCCAATGTCTCTCTGACTTTGGACATGAGTAGTTTGGGGAGTGTTGAACCTTTTGTCTCTGTGCCTACTCCACGAGAAAAAGTAGCAATGGAATATCTGCAGTCAGCCGGCCGCGTCCTGACAAGACAGCAGCTCCGAGAGACAGTTGCATGTTCTCATTTACTTCAAACAGAATTCATGGTGAGTTTAACAATAAGCTTTAAATGAGGATTTTGACATAACTGGCACAACGGAAACTGTGAAAAAAATAATTTGGCAATGCTTTAGTATCAAGGTAAAAATCACACCTGAGTGGCAGATTAGAACGTTCCAAGGTGGTGTTTTATGTTTAGAAACTTGCACACAAGTCAGATAAATACATCCATTTTATCCGTAGATAATAAACAGATTCCCTTTGGTTACAAGTTCCACTCACAGAGGGGAGAAGAGTAGTATTAGAGTTACAGTACAAACAACCGGGATTGTAATTTGTGGTTTTAAAATGGGCCTGGTGTAGCATTTGTGTTCTGATCTGGTGGGGTGTCTGACAGATTCAGAGAGATCATTAAGGCAGTGATGATGCCTTACACAGTAAGAGAAAACACAGTAATAATGAGAGACTTTGATTATTACCATGTAAACACCATGTGTGTTTGTAATTCAAAGACAAAATTGTTAACCATTATAAAGGACTTTTTTTTGGTGCAGCTTCTTACTGAACACACAAGAAGAGAAGCACCTCTTAATTCAGTCCTGATTAATTTGCAGCACGTGATTCCACATGTCTTTGTCAAACACTCTATAGCATTGAGCAAAGAAGTCTGAAAGTCTCTTACAAATATATTTAATTTTAAAAAGAGTAAGAATAGAATATGAAGTCAATGACCAGGTCAAATCTATGCAGATCTACAATAGGAACTTTAAGCATTCGAAGAATGTAAGGTATAGCCCTCAACTCATTCTGCTAATTCAGCTTGGTTTAACTAGCTGTGAAAATACAACACAACGCTCTTCTTGAGATTGCAATTTGTTTCTCATGAAAACCTTCCAAGTATGCCAAAAATAAAGAAATATTCTAAGATTTCAATGGGAAATTAAAACACATCCAGTTTCAGATTATTTTTAGCTTTTTAATTGTAAAAGAACTACTAAGTTACTATCAAAATATTTCCCATGGTATTTATTAAGATGAAAGGGCTATTTTAAGGGTTATTTTAATACTGACACAAATTCATCTAGATTTATTTGGGAGAACGTACCTGTTTGGCAATAAGAAAGAAACATGAATTGCCAGAGCTACTCACAATCAAAAGATAGAATGTCTGAAGTTGATAGAATTGAAACCTCCTGTGCCTAAAATAGTGGAATAAATTCATAGAAAATTGTCAGACTCTTAAATCTATGAAGTATGGTTCTCATCAAAACAAAGAGATAAGGAAAATGAGCATTTGCCTGATCTTTCCTAAATTTTGCCACATTTTCTTGAATGTTCTTAAGAACCCAAACCCTGTCTCTTTCAGTGTATGAACAGCTGTAGCATTTTAAAAGGTGATGTGAGCCAGAGTGCTGTTGTTGAAGAGTATCTCACCCAGATAGGTGAGCAACTGTAAAGCAGTCTACACCATGAACAAAAGCATATATGTGTATGCATGTATATATATATAAGCATGTATATATGCATGCATGCAACTGAGCACATGACTATAGAGGGTGTATACATCATCTCTCATAGGTCTATATGTCTCTTTAAGAAAACTGATTGATACATACTCTATATATGTGTACAGATTCTGTATATATGTATGCTAATTTCCACACTTTCATGCTATTTGCAAGCTCCTGGGTTTGTATTCCCCACATGTTACCAGGTATGTTATGCCCTGATAAAAATATCCTCAATTTTGTTACAGAATCTTCTATTTTGTAGACAACTTCAGATTAAAGTGCTCTTTATGTGTATGGCTGTGATCCACTGTGTGTTCCAGGTTTGTGCCTGTGCCCATGTCCCCACGAGCACTTACTGTTGGGAGGAGCCCCACTGACTAGAAAGTATTAACAGGATGTAAGCGATTAATATTATCAATTGACCTTGTTGGCATAGAGAAATGAGTTTCTGTTTTCAGCTCTGTGGCGTTTCTGCACCTGTTTTTTCTGCACCTGGTTTGCACCATTCTGAAATTGCAGCAGGCATCGGTGGGAGGCAATTAGAGAACTAGCAGAGCAACCCCCCCAACACAAGGGCTCTTGTTGTGTAGACAGAGGACGTTTTCTCATACCTCAAGGGCTAAGGAGAAGAGTCTCCCAGAGGTCACCACTGGAAAGCGTAAAAGTCAGAGGTGAATATGTAAGAGCAGTGGGAGCTCATTTTATACATAGGATAATCAGGCAGTTCTGTGAAGAAAGATGAGACATCAGCAGCAGGATAGAGGCGAGGAAGATAGCTTGACCTAAAGGAAAGGGAAGACATTCATGCAGAAGGGAAGCCTTTCAGGCAAAAGATCCTGCCCTTGGCAGAGGAGCCACGTAGGTAGCATTATTGGGAACTCAGAAGGAACCCTGCATGAAGCAGCAGTGCAGGAGGCAGTATTTTAGCAACACTGCATTCACTGCTCTGAAAAGAGAGGCAGCATCTCAATTCTCTGGTGTGTCAGCTGAAGAGCAGAGAAGACACTGGAGAAGAGGTAGAGAGAGGAAGAATTAAAAGGTTCACTGAACGTCTGGGCATCAAAGAAGAGACTGGAGAAGAGGTAGAGAGAGGGAGAGAGGAAGAATTAAAAAGGTTCACTGAACGTCTGGGCATCAGTCTAGAGAAAATAGAGAAATTAAAAACACAGAAGTTGCAACTTCGTGTAGCAGAGTATTTAGAAACCAAGTTGGGAAGCAGAAGGAAGTCACAGCAATTCACATTGACTGTTACACATTTTACTTAGCTTTGACTTTTCTTCAAATAGAAAAACAGAAGGGGAGCTGCCTCTACTTTGTGGGTCTGTGTAAAGATCTGCCGTTGCATGCATCCCAGGCAATTAGGCACCATGCCCTGGCCCTCTCAGTCCACCAGTCAGTAATGCTGCCTCCTTCCATCTCTTTGGGTAAATGCCCCAGACCAGGAATGAAATTTTCAAATGTGTAGTAATAATTGCATTCTTAAATAGAAAATTCAAGCTTACACTAATATAATTTAATTTCGGTTGCTAGTTATTTTGAACCTTTGGAGATTTAAGTAATACAATATTGTTCAAGGAATAAAATATCAAAATCAAAATCCAGAGAAATAGCTTTGTTTTTTTTATTATACCTATGACTCACTGCATGAAATGGAGCAAGGCACTTCACCTAATAGTTTCTGTAGAAAGGACATAAGATCTTTAACTGATATTGCTAAGGACTTTGCACTAAATTAAAATATTTATGCTTGCAATGTTTAGATTTTTAGTTATTTTGAGAGTTCCTGCTCCAAATATGTAAAATCTTGCTGTCTTCCGCTGCAATATTGCACTTTTCAACTCCACTTTTCTACAACTGTTGCGTATTTTAAACTATCTCCTAATCCTATAAAAATGTCGCTTTTAATAATTCATCAGAAATGTTCCTTGGAAGTCTCCCCTTCAATGTGCAACTTCTGTGTTTATTAAAGGAAGGGTGTTGACAGGCTTGAGGTGGGAACCACGTTTTTTCTTAATGACTTTGATGTCAAAAGACAGTTGTGTAACAGCAGATGGCCTTCTGGTGATAATTTCCTGCACAGCTCCTTTGGAAACAGCAATCTGATTTAATTTATTTTTTATAGGAAATACCAATGAATTTTGTGGATCCCAAAGAAATCGACATCCCGAGTCATGGAACTAAAAACCGCTATAAAACAATTTTGCCAAGTAAGTGGCCGAGCCCGTGGTTTCCTAGTATGAAATTCTCTGTGAATATATTGCTGATGTACATTTATAAATAGATTTTCTATCTTTATCTTTCAGCATTACATACCTATTCATAAATGTTTTTTGTAATCTATACAGCAAGAAAACAAAAGAGCAATGATGTAGGACCTGCAAATGCAGAGCACTCACTGGATCCCTTAGTTAGTAGGTGCACACTAAGGCCACATCCCAAATACATACTGAAATGCAGCCTGGGTGCCTGCTGGTTGTTCTGGAAGAAAAAATAAGGCAGAGAGAGAACTGTCATGCCTAGCAGTAGCTGCCCCAATTTGAAGGGTGAGAAGACCAAGTCTGTGGGCTGCATTACAACCCACAACACCTTGCAGTATATAAGCAAACACTGAATTCTCCTTGGTTGGGTCAAGCTGTTTGGAATCCTATCTAGCATTGAGTGGCCCAGATTAAAAGAGCCAGTGCATCCTATCCTTTAGTAGTAGAGTTTCAACTTCTTGCTTTTTTTCTTCTTCCCCATGCTCTGCATGGCTTTATTGAAGTTTGTTTACATTAGTACAAAAACTGCTTTTACACAATACTCTCTCATAGGTGCTGTCAACTTGTTGCTGCTTCATTGTATTGCTTCTGTATTTTCATTGGCACATTTTTTTTTCCTGTCTTAGTGAGAATTGCTTTGCTATAATTAGAGGTGATTGAAAACTTTTCAGTGGAATAGTTTTCCTTGAAAATTCATGCTTCTTTGAAATAGAAGTATTTTTATAACATTTATTGGGGAGTAATGAGATATTCTGCTTCTCGTTTATTAATTATTTTACTCTGTGTAAAGTGTCAAAACAGATTGTAGAAATGTCAATATTGCATTAAATACAGAAATGAATAGTTGTGCTTTTATAGCATTTTGACATTATCAAAGTAAAAAAGTTCAGTCATTCCAAATGTTGTGGGAGAGTGGTACAGAATTTAGAATTTAGATTTGTAATGAAGAATGCCTTCAGACTGACAGCATATCCCATCAACTGCAAATTTGTTTTCTGATTATCTCTATAATGTCCTTGTAGTCCTATGTTATATGATAATCATGCAAATTCACATACTTTGAATGACAAGATTTCTGTCTGTAAGCTTGCATGCATTGTAATTTGATCACATCGTACAAAGACCTTGCAGTCAAGTTAATGAAGAATGATGGCCTTCAGCAGCTAGATTAGTCTCAGAAATGTGATGTATGTCTGGGAAAGAAATTCACTGTGTGAAATGCTCACTTCCCTTTAATCAACCCTAAAATTCCCATTGACTTCAAGGTCATTTCATCTATTGCAAGGAGTAGGCTGTGTGTAGTGTGTGCAATAAATAGTTATTTAAGGGAATTAAATGAAAATATATGCAAGTTATACACTAAGTAATCAGAAAAAGTAATGACCCATAGAATTTGGCCCAGAGTCAACAGGATGTATACGGAGGGTGAAATCCTGACCCCATTGACGAAAGCAGGAGTTTGCCTTCAGCTACAGCGGAGCCAGGATATCACCCAAGCCTCCTTTTGACAGGCCAGGTTTTGGCAACGCGCTCTCCCTTCCGATAACTCCTAGTGTCAGAGCTCCCCCGGTACCACGAGAGTCGCCGCGTAGATGCAACACATCCCCTTTGCTGCAGCACGTGTTTGGAATTGGGTCGCGGCAGCTGGACTGGAGTTGATGTGTTTCGAGAGTCAGAATGCCCTTGTGCTTCCCGCTGAGGTTAGCTGCGGTGTGCCGGGAGCTCCGAGGCACATTTTCTGTCAGAGCACACAGTCTGTGTGCACCACTGCTACTCACTTTGCAACCGTCACTGAGAGAAACGGAGAGGTCTGCTGTGTGTTAGCACCACGCTTTTTCAAAGCAGTTATTTCCAGGATTGAGGCACATGCTCATAATAAATACTCCCACATCCCATAGCCAGTCCAAAAGGGTTTGGAAATGATTGGAATGATTAAATAGAACAGCTTTCCTGCTTTCCTGCTCAGATGATATCAACCCCGCTTAGTGTCAGCTTTTCCATTCCCAGTGCTGGGTGCGTCTCTTCAATCAGGGCACCTGCGGTGACAAGTGACGTTTGAATTGATGGATTATCTCCTAAAAATGTCCCGGCCTGCCAGCTCCACCCTCTGCACTGTGGAGGATGTTCTCATTTTCTGAGAGATAAGTCTGACATAGATAATCCTGTGGCAGGGTGTAGGAGGGCAGGTTAATGTTAATAGATACTACCCAGTCAGACACATTCATGTGAAACAAAGCAAATGCCTGATGAACGTTACTTCAGTATGGACAACTATCAGTTATGGGGAATATTACATTTCTAGGAAAGATGTTTCGTTTGCAGTGTAAAATAGCAAACATATACAAATGCTAGGATGCCTCTGTCAGTTTTCTAAGTATTATTTGGCTTATAATGATATACTAATACAGCTAACAAGACCAGGCTTTTTCAGAGTGGGATCAAAAGAAAGATGTCCAACTGTTCCTTTAAAAATGTTTCCTCATCCTTCCTCCATGAGATGCCATCTACTGGACCCGTGTAACCCCTCTCCATATCTTTGGCTACCTTCCCCCTGCCACCCTCTTACAGCATTTCTTTCTTCCTTGGGCCAGGCTCCCAGTCCTACATTCATGGTTTCCCAGTCTCTCTCCACAACTATATCCTGGTAGTTGAGCACCAGCCCAATGCTCCCTATTCATCCTCTTGCTTCACACCTTCACCTTTCCCAAATGAAACCCTTCCCCGATGCCTCCTGCAACCCCTACTACATGTTCCTATGGCAGAATCTCAGCTTTAAAGCCACTCCTATGTCCCTATGTTTCCACCTCAAATCAGAAACAGAATTCCCATGCTGCTTCAAAGCATATATTTGATCTTGCTTACAAAGAAGCAAGTGGCCCAACATAAAAGTTAACTATTCTATTGGTATCTTCATGTGTGCAACAGATCCAAGGTAACCTGATGACATTTCTTAACTCTTTCTAAAACGCACCCTCAGGGCAAAAGTCTACATGAAAGAAGTCACAGCAGAAGAGCAGATTCACAATAAAATGAAGGTGGAAAGCACTTGGCAGGTCAGACCTGCTAAATCCACAAGCTGTTGTCCAAATTGCTTGTGCTAAATCTAGCTCTGCATTTAAAGATGAGGGGAAATTTAAATCTAAATCATATGAACAAACTACTTTCCTGTGCAGACTATTTTCAAGCTGCCTTCTAGTACAGTCCTGAGATTTTGAGTTTTATCATATTTGCTGCAGTCTTATTCCCTAACAAAGACAGCAGGATCACCAGCAAGCTTACAAAGACTAAAGTAATAATAATAATAAGGAATAAGAAACTTCTTTTTTTGTTTTTGTCGGTGGGTATTTTGGGGGTTTTGTTGTAATGCAGGCATTTTGATAGAACTGGGTACTTTCCTGTGCAAACTATTTTCAAGCTGCCTTCTAGCTGCCTGAGATTTTGAGTTTTATCATATTTGCTGCAGTCTTATTCCCTAACAAAGACAGCAGGATCACCAGCAAGCTTACAAAGACTAAAATAATAATAATAATAAGATTTACAAAGCAGAAGGAGATAAAATAGTCTATCCAGTATACATCATTCATTTATAGACTAACAGCTAAAAGAAGCAAAGTAGGGGTGAATGAATTTCAGAATATTTGAGTCTGTGAAAGATTTACAAATCTTTAAGGGTGAAAGTGTGAGAGCAGTCTACCTCAAAAAATTTCCACCTTCCTTTCCTGTTCACAAAACTGAAATGCCATAAATCAGCCTTCCACACAATATTTTGGTCTTTCTTTTAGCAAGGCAATCAGGAGTGAATCAAGAGTAACAAATGACTAATTCTGTAAATAATACAAATGCAAATATACCCATGCTCTAAAGAATTTAGAATGCAATAGTAGTCAGAAAAATTTAAAAAAAAAAGAAAGAAAAAAATAAGCCAGGTTCTATCTGTAGAATGCAGTCTTTGCTATACGATAGACTTGGATCTTCATGAAAAATTGCCATTCATGGAATGGATGCATCTCCAGTACTGATGGCACTGGGGGAGGCTGTCTGGCAAGGCCACCCTTGCTCTGACATGTGGCCCAGCATTGTTACCCCCAAGATATTTGTCACTCAGGAGTAAGCTAATTACTGCCACTTGTGTATGGTGACTGCTTAGTGCCTCTAGAACTTAAGCAGTGCTCAGCTTTCCTTGTTTCAGAGCTGGGTTTATCGCATTTATCTATTTCATAAATGATCATGACTGCTATTTTATAAAAGTATTCCCATTCCAAAGTAGTGATTGTTTTGTTGATTGGACTTGGAAGCAAGTAACTTCCAAGTGAAATTGATTTAGCAGCTCCTGGGGATCATGAGAAATTTCTCCCAAGACGTGGTAAATAAGTTGTTGAGTCTGCTGGGAAGAGGGTTTTTAAGGTAGGGGTCAGGCTACATCAGAATCACAGGCATTGTGTGAGCTAGAGGAAGCGGGTGTTTTTTTAAGGCCACGTAGCCTGAGGCATTTGTGGAAATGGCTAATAATCACTCTGTGCTGAAAAGGAATAAGAGGTTTCCTGTCCTCATATTGTTAAGGGGAAAAGGCTGCGAAAGCTAGTACAAAGATATTTTAACACAAGCTAGCTAGGGTTCATAGTGTGCTCTTAACACAGGGGACAAGAGTCCCATGTGCAAACTTTGAACTAGAAAACACACATTCATTTGCACAGTTTAAGAAATATTTTCAAAACATTGGCCTGGACTCCATTCCCTTCCCAAGAAACTTCTGTTACTTTCAGTGCAAACTAGACATAAAGTATGCTTGGGATCACCCCTCCTCCTCTTTTGTTTTGCAAAGGGTTTATCTTGTTCTTGGGAACAGAATGAAAAGTCAGAATAGAAATCCAAAAGCAACTCCGTGAAAATATAGTTTTGCTTAGAACAGCATGCGTACACCAGTGATCTCTACAATGTAAGCAGTAGGACTACCTAGTAAATAGTGCTATCTCGCTGTGCTGCAGTTCAGCATCCGTGTATTATCTTTGAACACCTTGCCTGGATTCTGCTCAGCAAAGGAGATCTCCAGGGACTTTTTCCAAACCAATGGTTTGGAAAGTCAAAAAAGCTGCTATCTAAAAGTCAAAAAATCTGCTGATTCTACTTAATTATTTAAGCAAATTATTAGAACAAAATATTTTCTTTCTTTTTGTCAGCACTGAAATGTTTCCTTAGCATTTTGATAGAACTGGAATTTTTTTTTTTTCAGAAAAAGGTGCAGAGAAAGTCGAAGTGGAATCCTCTTTACTGTTGCAACATGGGCTCCTCAGTCCCCTTATGCCTTTCTGTAACACTGTGTAATTGAGAATTTACTGGCTTATTCCTAAAACCTAGTGCATGGGGGATCCACATGATCATAATGAGCAGAAAAAATATATTTTTCAAGAGGGATCTAATAACCTCCCATCTCCATGCTAAAACAGAATTACCCTTGAGTCTATTTGAGATCATCCAAGACAGTGAATAAAAGTAGAGCACAAAGTAAAAAGTTGACGTATTTTGGCATAATTTCTCCAGCCTGTTACATGCAAATGTAGTGATAAAGAAGCAAACAGCCGATTTCTGCAGGCAGAGAAGTCAGTGCAAGGCCTTTTCCTGATTTAAATCCACCTGTAGTCATTGGAATGATACAGCTAAATGCAAAAATATCGAAGGCATCCAAAGGAGTTGGTATGCAATGATACGGCACAGGTTTTAGGGACAGGTTTTAGTCGAGGTGACTCAGCTTGATACTCGATGGGGGCAAACAAGACCTTGTTGAACACTGCCCTGACCTGGCAGCATTGAATCTATGGCCACAGCTTCCTGAGATGCTTCTTTACAGTCCAGCGTTGTGCAGTGTAGGCTTACCTGCATTACATGTGTTGGTCCTTTGCAGAGCGAAGTGTTTCATGAGTTATGTTTTATTGTTTGGCAACCCCCAAATAACAGTATTTTCTTCAACAAATCTTTGATTCTTTAGAGAAATCTTCTAATTATGGGTTTTCTTTTCAATTTCCATCTTCCTTGTGCTCTTAGATCCTCTAAGCAGAGTGTATTTGAAACCAAAAAATCCATCTGACTCCTTGAGTACCTACATAAATGCTAACTACATTAGGGTAAGTAAATATACACTGTTCATGTGCTTTTGAGACAATATTTGATTTTCCACCTGAATAACTGATTTTGCCAAGGTGCCACTCGTTTTATTCCTACCATCTTCACTGATAAATCTTTATCTTTTTATCTACATTGATGTGACAGAAATAGTCTCATGAGCTTGTAGTAAAGACCACAAAGTCGTGAACGTACTAAAATGGTTGCAGTAACAGAAATAATACAGTAAGAAGTACGTACATTACTCTTTCTGTTAATCTCAGTATTTGCTGTTTTGTATTGTCCTACTGCTTTATAGTAAGGAAAAGAGGTCTACATTTTAAGTGTGAGAGAGAGGCAGAGTGTTTTGGCAAATAAAAGATTAGAGTTAATAGCAATACAAGCCCCATAGTTGCTCATTATGGTGAGCACGTTACCTCTGATGAAGTCCAAAGACAATGAGTTTTTAGTACATATCATTGATAGTCCTGAAATAATCAGTTAAGTAATTAAGTAAGTACTGCAGCAAGTTTGTGTAAAGGGGTATAAATATTAAGTATACATGTTCAGCAGTACACACACTTAATATATATTTTTAATATTTGTTCCATATGTGAAGTGATTACATGATACAGACTTGACCAGAGTGAATCCTGTTGGAAAGCATTATTTCTAAGTATCTAACTATGAAATAATTCTCAATGGCTACAGATGGAGCCTTGTTAAACTCAGTGGCATAATATATGCTGAATAAAATACTAAGAAACTACTTTAGGAATGTTTTAGGAGTTTATTCCTCTATCTGCAAAGTTTGATATTTTGATTAGAATCATGTGTTAGGTCCTCAGCTGAAGTAAATGTAATAGTGCAATTGAAATTTTGCCTCTCAAATATGGCTCAGCAATAATGCTGCTAATTTAAACAATATACATACAAATCCCCACAGCCCTTTGCTTGCCTCACTCTACATCCTGTATGCCCAGTGTTTTGCAAAGACATCAGCAGAGCAGTTGTCTGTGAAGAGCAACAGTGCAACCCTCTACTCAATGGCCTGTTTTGAGGCCTGTGAGGTGTTCTCTCCCCACCTCACCTTCAACAAGCCAAAAGACGATGACTTCTCCTGCTGCTGCCACTGGTGACACTGCCAACAATCCCAGGGAAAAAAAAATCATTGCAGCAATGGAGTGAAATTTCACATACGCATATGGAATATCATTCAGCTCACTAGGATCCTGCTACAGCCGTCTGACAAAGTATGTTCAGGCAAGTTGCTAGGTAGTACAAGAACAGTTTACACCAGCTGAGGATCTACCCTGATGTTTCATGCAATGGATAACGGCACAGATAAGTGTTGCCAGGTTGAAAGCAAACGAAAGGACAGCCTGTGGTTAGAGGCTCCCGCTCCACTCCCAGCTCTTCACCATCCGTTCACTCCTTTCAGACATTGCCAATCTCTTCTGATCTGCATTACCATGGGACATCTGGTCACTGCACAAGTTCACCAGTTCTCATTTTAACCTGAAAATAAGAGAGCAATTTCTTGTCTTTACCATTTCTCCCTGTCTTTCCCTCCCTCTGGCTTCCCACTGTTCACCCCTCCTTTTTTGGACTGCCTGTTCACTTGTGTGTCTCAGGACACTCTGTATTTATAAGTTTTCCTTCATATAAAGTCTTATCAAAGATATTTATACCCCAGGAGAAATGCAGAGTAGAGCTTTTGACTCCACGAGTATTTGCATATTTTTAAATCTCTTTTCCTGTCATGATATTTGTAGAAGCCAGTCTTACACTTCTCCCTCATTTGTGTCTATGACTGTAAACTGTCTTGTAAATAGTGGAACAGTGTAAATCACAGATTAGAATACCACTGGATGATGGAAAAAGGCTCAACAACTTGGGAAACAGGGCAAACAAAAGAAGCCAAGGAAGCAGGGAAATTTGAAGGGGACTGATGTATTCTCAGGACCATTTCAATCCAATGAATCAGGAGCTTTCAGAGGAAAAACTGTTCTACTGAAAAATTTCTGGTCTGCTCTGCTATGAGTCATAATTGTTCTCAGTTCAAATAACTTTTGTTTAGTTCCAGATTCTTTCTTCTATTATTTTAGAACACTCACCTGCAGTCTTGATCCACTACCTGAATTTAAAGATTTTGTGTCTGTTTCTCAACCAGGGATATGGAGGTAAAGAGAAGGCTTTCATTGCAACTCAGGGACCCATGATTAATACCGTGAATGATTTCTGGCAGATGGTTTGGCAAGAAGACAGCCCTGTCATTGTCATGATCACAAAGCTGAAAGAAAAGAATGAGGTATGACAACTGAGGTAGCCACACTGAGAAATTATTCCAATGGCTGTGACCGCTGGAAATAAAACCTTAGTAGCTATGGAAGAATGCAGGCAGATACCCACCTCTCCAATACTGTGCTAATGGGTGTTATGAAAAATAATTTTAGGTAGACAAAAAAGAAGACAGTTGTCATTGTGAAGTGACCACAAAAGTTGTGTTGAAAAATATGTATATGAACAAAATTCCATTTTCTAGATTTTTCCTTTCTTTTTTTTTTTTTTTAAGAAGCACCTCCCTTACCAATTGCTCACCTCTGTACTTACTTGTTACTTTCTATTACACAAAAAATAGGTGTGTAAATGGAAAATGTGAAGATCAGAGATTTCCTTACATGGTCAGAGTTTAAAGCTTGTCCAATGGCAGTTTTTTGAATACATTCTAAGTTTTAAAAATGATTGAAATCCAGAAATATTGCTTGGCTTCCCAAATGCCAATACTATGAAGAGACTTAGCCAGAATGGAAATATGTCTCTTTACCTTAATATCAAGTATATGCGACTATTGAATTTCAATTGATTGTGGCCAGCTAACCATTCTGTGGCTTTGGAGGAGTTCCTAACTACATCTTTAATAGCTTCATTTAATATTGCCTGTAATTCAAAATCCATATTTTTTACTGCCAGACATTAAGAGTGAAAATGACTCCCTTGTGAAAAAGGTCAATACAAAGCCCTGTTTTGGAAGTTTGAATGTTACGGAAGTGATTTATAGGTCTTCTGTGCAAGAGGGAAACTGAATTGGGAGCTTGAATTGTCTCTTGTGTCTAAGCTGACAGACTTGGTAGCACTGCCCAGCTCCGGGTAGATGCCTCAACCATGTCTCAGCATGATGTCAGGGAAGACACCAGGCTCACGCTGGCCCTTCTTCACTCACCTCCCCGTCCTTCACACTCAGATGCCTGTGGGAAAAGAGAAATCGGGCATATTCATAATCGAGCCAAGTTTCTGATCTGAGTGATGAAGGGACCAAGATGATCTGAGTGATGAAAGGACTGATCACATTCCCAAGGCACAAATGTGTAGCTCAGTTTTAAGGTGGGCTCAGTGGTCACGCTTCCTCTGCACCTGACCGCTGCTTGGCTCTTTACTGCTGTGATTTTGGGATTCTAGCATGAACTAGCTTTAAAATCCAGTGGATTTTAATAAAGCTGCATGTAGAAAGGTTCTGTGCTGTATTTCCAAAGTTGTATTTCCAAACTGGGAGGCATTTTGAAACTGTGTTCTAGTGAAACAAGTGTCCAGAAGCCTATGTATGAAAAAAGTAGGACGCTTAACCCAACTTAACTGTCCAAAAGAACAAGTATTTCACCGAGGAAATACTGACTGTTTAAACACTTACATCTGACACTGTATAAGAAGAATGACTTGAAAGAAATGCCCAGCGGTTTCCAATATGTCAGGAAACCCTGTGTTTACCTGAGTTACGCAGGCCCTAGGCTCTAGTGTTTACCCGCATTGTTGTGGACTGGCAGTGGTAATTTCCTCCTACTAGAATGGGTGGGGAATCTCAATAGTTCCCAGGCTATATAGAGAGGTTGTGTTTGCACAGGCTGTCCTGCCCTGTCTAGAAACCTTAGGAATTCTCTCACTGTTAACCGATTGCTCCCAAAACTTTACTTGGTACTGAAAAGAAAGTGCCTAATGGTTGTGCTCAGCACATTAATTTGCCCATTAAAGTGCAAGTTTAGAAGCGTAAAGTGTAAGCATAGGTTTGTAGGAGTTAATTCCTTTCATGAGATGGAAAACTTGGTTAGGACTTGCTGTGGTAACTTTTTTCTTGCAAAATGAATGGAGATATAATATCAAAGTAAAATGTTGAACTAAATATTCATTTCAGCTGTGTGACAAAATTTGGACTATTAAACTACTTTCTGGATTACTCTTCATTTTGAAGCCTGGAAAAAGAAATGGAGGTTGATTTGTAAGCAAGAATAATGATAAAGGAACTGTGGTCAGTGAATATCTTAAGCAGAATCTTTTACAGATTCTACTCAGAATTACACAATAAATGTATTGGAGCATCCACCTGTCCACATTCTCATGTAAGGAGAATAAGGCAAAGCAGTGGAACTTTTGCCAGAATAAAAAATACAAAATTTGGAATTCCAGCATATAATTTTAGGATGAATGTGATGGAAAATTCATCTCACCTAGTCATTTAGGTCACTGAAGAGCAGAACTCAGCCTCAGAGGGTCACCCATTCTATTTGAAGAGAATGAGATAAATCACCTACTGAAGCTACCATCTCTAACCCTACAGTAACAGTTTGGGATCTGACCTTAGAAGCATTTCTTCATGGGGCATGTGTACACTTAATTTCATAAAAGATCATTTAGCCAAGATAGAAATTAAGTAGAAATTCAACAAATATCTGGAATGAGAATACACTAGTTTATATGCTCCTGTTGTATTAACTGTCTTTCACAGTTATGCAATGTATTGCATGGATAATATGCATTTTGTTTGCCTTCAAAACAAACTAGCAACATTACATATAAACAAGGAAACATATTCTGAATGTAAAAATAAAGATTATAGTGCAGCATTCTGCAAGAAGAAAGGGCCAGTACTCTGACAGATGGCTTAACAATGTGTATTATTCAACTCAGATAAAGTACTGTATCCAAGTACTTATCTAGCACAATCTTACTAATTTACTATTTAAAGCTCTTATTATTTTTCAAGCAACATTTTTTCCCACTTGTGTAGGAACTATAGATATTGGAAACTGGAAATCCTACCTTTTGCAGAATTCATATAAGCCTCTTTGTACAGTACTTACTTATTACTTAAGTATTGGTGCCATAGATATGTCTTGGATTTGGAAAAATGTAAGAAGATTTGGTCCTGGTTTTGAGGATTTTAGTAGATGAAAGCAAATCCTGCAAGTCCTCTTAAAATATACCTATCATGTTTGAATTGCTTGTGACAGCAAATTTACATAGGAGTAGAAATGGATTTTGTAAATTAAGCTTTGCTGTAATTATTCATTAATTTTTCATGGTGGCCTTTTTATTGGGACATTTAAGGAATAAATATGTTTGCATAGCTGTAAAGAAAAATAAGCAGGAGAACTGAAGCTGAAGTAAAGCAACCAAAAAATACTTGAGAATTGTTAAAAGACCAACAGCTTTGATCACCCTCTACACACAAACACACACACACACTTCCAAGCCAACTTGGAGGAGCAGTTTGGTTTAGAGGGTGCAGAGCCAGAGCACGTAAAAGAGCTAAACAAATAACCCATGAGCTGGGAAAGCCTTTCTCCACTCAGCAGAATTTCCCGGGGAAAGCAGACGGTAATGGAAGCACTGGCTGGCCGTGCTGGGGTTGGAGACGTTGGCGCGCTGGGAAGGCTGCACGTGGCGAGGCTGGTGGCACCTGGCAGGCAGGAGAGGGCACTCGAGGAGGGGACAGGCAGCCCAAGGCTGCAGCCTGCCAGGGAGGCAAGGAGCAGCCGGAAAGACCGTGTGGGATATTGGTTGGTGCATAAACTTCCTGCTGTGGCCAAGGAATGCTTTCCTCAAAAAAAAATAAAAAGGTCAGGGACCAGATCAGAAATAAATAATGAGCAGTTTATAATGAGCAGCTTGAGGGCAATTATAGAGAGCTGGGGTGAAGCAGGGGGGAATCTGAGTGGTGGCAGGAAGATGAAACTTTTTCCACACAAAGAAAGAAACTTCCCAGGCTTTTGGCTGGCATGAAATTGGCTTTTATTATTATTATTATTATTATTATCTTTTTGGGAGTCCCCAACCGTAGCTCTGAGGTGTTTGCAGCTTACACAGAGGATCGGACATTCCATGTCAGGCTCACGGAAACATACGACCTGTTTGGAGAGTGCTGTAAAAGATGGATATACTTAATGGGAACTAGAGAGGCCTGAGAGAACACCAGGGAATAGAATCAGTAAATTGCAAAAAAATAGACTTAAATAATCATAAGATCAAGTCAGTTGCTCCCTTTCCAAATATATGCAGATAGATAGATAGATGTATTTCTTTATAGAGCAAATAAGCCTTTAATGATTAAAGACATGAGGCTAAGAGAGCGGTTTAGTTTTCCTAACTACTGTGTTTGACTTTTGAACAGGTGTAAAAAAATACTTATCTGTCTATAGGTTTGTTTTTTCTTTAGGTATAAGCATTAGCTTAAGGTAATTTTTGCTCCTAGATGATTCTCTGTTATTGTCTCTGTGTTTGATATCTTTGTCCTCTCCTATCTTCTACTTGATGCCTTTATTATAAAAAAACTTGCAAAGTTAGTTTCTCAGAATACTTATCTTTAAGTGACTTGAGCAGCTGAATCGAGATGCATTTACGAGATTTTTTTAAATTGGTAACAAATAGAATTCTTGAAAGATATGTGCAGCCCACATTAAAAATAATCCATTGTATTTTACTAAATGTAGATGTGTCGTTAAACGAAAGCTATTTTAGTGATCAGTCCCAGTTCATTGTCCACCCAGTGCAAGATGCCAATTGCAGTGCTGGGAGAGAGTCAAGAAAAACACTCTTAGGGACTGCCTGAGGCCTTTGTAGTCAGTGCAACAAACTTTCATTTATCAAGAAGTCTCAGGAGTTGCCTGAACTATTGTTAATTGTCAGAGTACAATTGCGCATTTAGACTTCTCTTTTGCCCATATTAGCACGGCAAAGCGGCAGCTCCCCAGGGAGGGGCGTGAATTGCAGGTCTCCGGGTTGATAACAGCTCTACGTGTCACATGGGGTAACTGGGGACTTTTTTTTTGCACTTTTTTTTTTCGCACAAATTTCTGAGTATTTTGTTGCCATTCTTGGTGTCTTCGAGGAGACAGCGAATTTAAGATGTTCGAGTAACTCTCCAAAAGACAGGAATGTCTTCGAGGAGGAGACAGCGAATTTAAGGTGTTCGAGTAACTCTCCAAAAGACAGG